CGACTTATATAGTATATACACACATAGCCTTCCTAATTTTATCTCACACCAAAATGTATTCAAGTGAATCGGTTGAGCCGCAACGAATCCGATCAGTCGCTGGAAATATTAACGGACGATCCTCGCAAAGGTACGCGGAACGTTTCTTTAACGAGAATATTATTCATTATTTCCTTATTTATAAATCTTTGTTCGTGCAGGCGAACGGGTAGTGGATCTGCAACCTCGCGTTTATTTATCAATGCAGTAAAGGATGCAAGTAAGAGCTCGAGGGGAACAGGTTACTGATCCGATTTATTCTACGATTAAAAACCGAGTTTTTGCGTTACCCAATTTTAAAGTTTTTTCTTTTTCTTCTAGAGGAGAACAGCTCGGATAAAGCACATCATGGTAAACGTCCTTATAGTCCGAACATTGACAGTTTCAAAGAAGATCAAAAAACAAAAGCTCGGAGGGTCGATGGTGATTCGGGTATAGATAAAAGTCGGTCACATGAAATAGACCAAACTCATAACAGAAGTCTCCATATTAAAAATGAACATTACTCTAGTGATCATGAAATGTATGATCCTTTATCACAAGATGGAGAACGTGGTAGGTTTGGTAAGAAATTCAGAATATTTGATCGAAGGATTTTGGGTTTGATTTGATATAATGATAACATTGGGTTGCTTATAACCACATAGTAAATGAGCGACGTTCTCAAGTGAATTTGAGGCCGCAGCAACAGTCAAGGAGTGTATTAGATCGACTAGGCAAAAAAGGAGGTTTAATGAATGCTTATATCAATCCAGCTTTTTTTCCAAATTCAAATGGTGGTTCCGACCTTTCACAATCAAATGACAGCATAACATTAACTCCCAAAGTTTCTCGTTGTCGTCATTGGCCAAATTGCGATCTTGGATCAGCATGTAAATTTCACCATCCTACTGAAATTTGCCCGTACGTGTTATACCATATACCATATAGTTTTTACTAGAAAGATATAAATTATATTAAATTGTGTGTCGTTGATTTAACAGGATGGTTCCGAATTGTCCAAATTCACCTCGAACATGTTTGTATATTCATCCGGCGAGTCAAGATTTCGATAATCGTGGTTTATATAGGTTTGGTTCATATGGAAATGGGTCGATGGGACAAGGAACCCTCGGAATTGGTCCAAACGCTTTTGTAATTGACCCGATTGGACAAAACCCTATGGGTCATTTTGGAATAGGACAGCACGGAATGGGTCAGGGCATGTTTAACCCAGGATCTTTTCACTTTCCACAAAGTTTAGCTGGAACAGATTTATACAGTGCGACCTCCCTTAGACAGAATACACTCGAAAACATTTCTGGACATGAACAAAATTTCCAAGGTTTGCGTGATAAAGAACAAAAACCTTTCAGATCTGGTGCTGGATCCACGTCTGTTACGGCAACGATTAATACGAACGCTTCAATTACCGCGACTTCTAGTAGTGTCTCGGCAGAATCGGTTCAAGAAAAGGATGCTACATTGGCTTCGAATTCCCAAGCAACACCTGCCGTTTTATGTAAATACGGAGAACGTTGTGCGAATCCTAATTGTGTGTATGCGCACGCTAGTCCTTCGACCGTTGGAACTGGAATTACTGCTTCATCATTGTTAGAAATGCCTTGCAAGTACGGAATCGAATGCGGACAGACAAAGTGCCGTTATTCGCACCCTTCTCC